CGAATTTCAACAACAACTAAATAACGACATTGACAATATTAAAGAAGACCATCGACTTTTCGTGAAAGCTGACAAATCTACTAACTTCTACAAACTGGATGCTCCAACCTACGACAACCTTGTAAAATCTAATGTAACCAAAACATACAAAAAATCGGAAAAAAAGCAATTATCCAACATCAACAAAGAAGCTAAACTAATAGCTGAAAATCTTAATATTGACGACCGCATAGAACCTATGGCTGAAAAAGAATGTTTCATAACACTTAAAGACCATAAAGCAAATTTTGAAAACAAACCTACATGCCGCCTGATCAACCCTGCTAAAACTGAAATTGGACAAATAAGCAAAAGAATCCTTGACAAAATAAACAAAGAGATCATTAAAGCAACAAAGATAAATCAATGGAAAAACACATGTTCCGTCCTAAAGTGGTATAAAGAATTTCCTAACAAGACGAACGCTTCCTTCATTTGCTTTGATGTAGTAGAATTTTACCCTTCTATAACCGAAAAACTTCTTCATGACGCTCTGAACTTTGCCCAGAACTATACAAACATAACTGAAGATGACCGTAAAATTATCATAAATGCAAAGAAATCTCTCCTTTTTAACAACGGACAACCTTGGTGTAAAAAAACGGAAAATAAACTGTTTGACGTAACTATGGGGAGTTATGATGGAGCTGAGACGTGCGAGCTAGTTGGCTGTTTTCTACTTTCATCTTTAGCTGAAAAATACGGGAACCGCATTGGCCTTTACAGAGATGATGGCCTAGCAATATTCAACAAATCCCCGAAAGAAATAGAAGACATCAAGAAAGATATCTGTAACACATTCAGCAAACACGGCCTTCGTATAACCATTGAAGCCAACAAAAAAGTAGTCAACTTCCTCGACGTCACACTAGATCTAAATCGCAGTTCTTTCAGACCATATTCAAAACCTGGCAACACCCCACAATACGTACACAGTAAATCCAACCATCCCCCAAGCATAATCAAAAACATTCCTGAAGCTATCAACCGAAGATTATCTGAAATATCATCTGATGAAAAAACTTTCAACGATTCTGTTCCTATATATCAAGAAGCACTAACGAAAAGCGGATATGATTTCAAGCTAAAGTACGCACCTACTTCTAATTCAAAAAAACGCAACCGTCAACGTAATATAATCTGGTATAATCCACCATTTAGCAAAAATGTCAAAACAAACATTGGCAAATCATTCCTAAAACTAATAGACAAACATTTTAAAGTTGACAATCCTTTGCATAAGATATTCACAAGAAATACAGTGAAAATTAGTTACTCCTGTATGCCAAACGTCAAGAACATAATTGATAACCATAATAAGAAATTAATTCAACAACACGCCACCGACCAAGATGAAGTAATCCCTCCTTGTAACTGCAGAAATAAAGCGTCTTGCCCACTTGACGGTGAATGCCGAACTTCAAACATAATCTACAAAGCTACAGTCACGACAGACGAAAGAACAGAAACTTACGTAGGCCTAACAGAAAATGAATTTAAAACAAGATACAGAAACCACACAACATCATTTAGAAATGAAAAGAAGAAAAATGCCACGGAACTTTCTAAATATATTTGGAGCTTAAAGGACAATAATATCGAATTCACTCTTAAATGGTCAATTTTGGCGAAATCAAAATCATATAATCATTTGAGCAAACGCTGTAATTTATGTATAAGTGAGAAATATATAATAATTTGCCATAGACATGAAGCAACCTTAAATAAGCGTAACGAACTTGTATCTACATGTAGACATAGACGAAAATACCTCTTAAGATTTTACAACGGATAAACATTTAATCCGTCACGCTCTTGTATCTATAACATCACGAATCTGTAATTTTATACTTTAGCGTCAATTGCAAACTTGTACTTAATGTAAACCTTTAGATTTTAACGGTCATGTAATTGGTTTCACCTGATGAGTGTGGTCCTCTGGACCATACGAAACAATATTGTAGTGAAAATTACATCATGGAAATACAGTAGTTTGTTCTGTAATTTTCTATTTTATTTGAAAAATGAATATATATATAATAACAAAAAAGGCCATTTGAATGAATAATTACTGAATGGATGATCAATTAAAAGAATGGATACACAATAAAAGTAATATGGAGAGACGAGAGGTAGTGGAGGGATAAAGATAATATAAATTTGGATTCATGAATGGTAAATACCAATGAAGTATTGGATGAATGAACAAATGTTGAATGGATGGCATGGACATTTTTGTTTTTGTTCTTCATTGTTTTGAGCCAATATTATAATTTTCTATTATAATGTAATTTCCCTAAGGAATTTAACCTATATGTAACAAAAGAATCACATGTAGAGCAGACAACGCCACAGGTTTTTTTGACATGAATGTAAGAGTAGAAAAAAATTGTTTGAAGAAAAAAGAATGTAGTAATAAAACACCAAATACAATGTACAAAAATTGTGGCATTCAACAAGATAACAAAAGAAAACCGCCTAAAGGCAAAATATTCATTGTATTTCTCTTTTCTAATATTTTCTTATTCATGGCATCCCACTGTTTTCAGATACCAGCCTAAATCATCATATGGCAACAGAGCATCACAGTCTTGGGAGCCAAAGTGGAAACAAAGATTAAATGACAAAAAACAAAGAAGACAAATGTATAAGGAGAGAAGGTTGCAGAAAATGTCATTTGGAGCCAGCAATGAGCTTAAAGAAATGGATGAAAAAGAATTAGAATGGGAAGATTACTTAGATGATATCGCCTCAAGGTGAGAGAATTACTTATTGAAAAATGTTAGCCAGTGCACATCTGCCCCCACCCCTTTCCCTATGGAAAATTTTTTTTTCCTCCAGGGGGGAGGGGTGTGAGTCGATGTACACCAGCGCTATTGAAGTGTCCAATAATCAAATTAATCACTGAATATTATGATCATGAAATATTATTTAATAATTCATATCCAAATTCAAATTTTATAGTTCTTTTGCACCAAACTTGCTCTGGATGATTTGTTCAAGTTTTTGGCAGAATTTAATTTGTCTGCAAAATTGACCAGCATTTATGTGCTATAAAAGTATGAGCAGGAGACCTTTATGGGCATTTAAAACTTTTGTAGCCCATAAAGGTCGGACGTAAATATTTTATATTGCTTATCAAATTCCAACATAAGCTATTAAAGCATATTTCACAAAAAAACTTAAGGTAAAATATCATTTGTAAGAGAAAATCGAAGTTGAAGTCATATGCAAATGAGGACAAATCTCTTGCTCATATAAAGATGTGGTCACGTCAATGATTTTCCATTGTGTTTACCTTATGAATTATTAATGAATTTGATAAGTGATATTAGATGATATCCACCGCATACTGTACAACTAACGGTGCTCATATATTATTGTTCTATCAGGTATAAGATTTCAACTGTGGAATGCGTGGAAAAAATGTCATTTGAAAAGGTTGATGTTGATCTTGTAGTGAAGCTGATAACTCATATCTGCAGAAATCGAGAGGTCAGTAGATTAAACTACTGGATTAATGTAGGATCAAAATGACTTTCTATTTTGCGCCAATTTATAGTGAACTACATAATAGACAAATTACACTAGTTGCTATATTTTACCATATTTTATGGGAATGTAGCTCATCTAGGGTACAAAAATTAGATTCTTGTTACTGAGGAGGCAAAAAATCTTTCCGTTTTGCTCCTAAGATGTCATTGTGTTTCATATTGATCATATTTTCTTTCCCTTTTCTTGTTTAGGATGGAGCTATTTTAGTATTTTTACCAGGCTGGGATGATATCAGTAAAGTACATGACAGTCTCAAGGCAACTAGAATCTTCTCTTCAGGTAAAGATTACTCTTGTCCACAGGCATCCCAACCTCATGACTATTTACAGACATATATTTATTATCAAATTATTTCCATACATTGTGTGAAAAATCCACTAATCCTTTCATCCCTTCCCTCCATTTGACCATCCATTCATGCATCTCTTCGGTTTTCCAACCATCCCTGCAGTGAGGTCAGAAATTAATTAGTTTCCAAATTTATTTCCAAGGGTCTTTCTCCCACAATAACTTCCCTTCTTAGCAATATAACCTTCTATTATTTCTAGTTTATCCCTCTAGTTGTCCATCCATCCATTCCATTCAGTTTTCCTATTCATGTTCAAATATGCCTATTTCAGATAAATATCTCATTATCCCATTACATTCAATGATGCCAACCACAAACCAACACCAAGTATTCGACCGACCACCTCCTGGAGTACGAAAAATAGTACTTGCTACAAACATCGCAGAAACAAGGTAATGATGTCAGCCATTGATAATTAGATTAGTTAGAATATCAAATAAATGTAGATTCTCGTGTTGCTTTCCTATTTTCGACTGTACACTTCTACATAATCTATTAATCTTTTCAAACTGACGTTCTCTGCTGCCCCCGTAGCACAAGGGTATGTGGAAAAYCTTGTGTAATGAATGATGTGTCCTAGCTATCAGGCTATCTTGAATTAGGGGGGTCCCCTAGGGATCTTACGATTTATTCAGCATCTGTTTCTTCTCAATGTTCTATCTTTGTCATGATTTTTTCGTCTTATTTTCAGTATCACCATTGATGATGTTGTCTTCGTGGTGGACTGCGGGAAGGCAAAAGAAAAGGTCTGCGCATTCTCCATCTAAAACCTCTCACCTTACCGGCATTAATTCATGATTCTATGAGACTTCAATCTATATTTTTTCTTATTTTTTCAGTCTTACGATGCAACACGGAAGATTTCTTCTCTTATGCCAGCATGGATTAGCAAAGCATCGTCTAAGCAACGACGTGGTCGAGCAGGAAGGTGAGAGAGGATGACAATTTCAATAAGAAACATAACTTTTGTAACATTTCAAGTATAAACGTAAATATTTCGAAATGGTTCTTTACTGCAAATGTTTGTTGTTGCAAGTGTTTTCATCCTTTTGATCTGTAGTAACTAAAGTATACTTTTTTATTTTATTATTTCCCAGAGTTCAGAAAGGCTTCTGCTTCCATCTGTTCACCGAGTTGCAAGCCAAAAAACTGATCGATTTTCAACTTCCTGAGATGTTGAGGACACCACTCGAGGAAATAGCTCTTCAAATCAAGGTAACTTCAAAATCGTCATGGCTGATTTTCACATGACATAATCACAATCATAAGCATAAAATAATAATGGTGTTATACGACAGTAGATGCAGTATTTACCTAACAACTAAGACAGACAACATTGTTAGTTCTTTGTGACTGTGCTTATGTTTATAGCTGTGATATGCTATGCTCTGGTGCACTTGAAAGCAATCTAATATCAATCTAATAGGCTTTCAAAGTTTTGTTCACTTTGTCAGTCATGTCATTTACTCGAAATTATACAAATTGTGCAATTATTAAAATTATGCTGACTCTGACCTGTATGAAATGATTTCTTACGTATTTCTATTCAACTTTAGATTCTTAAACTAGGAATGGTGGCAGAATTTCTATCCAAAGCTCTTCAGCCACCCTCTTCCCTTTCCGTCCAAAATGCACTTGACACCTTAAGACAATTGGTAAGTACTATGTTAACATGACCGCATTGACACCGTGCTGTGAACATGCTTTCGTATTACTGTTTTCGTATTGCTTGTATTGCATTGCCTGTATTGTACTGCATGTATGAATTCCCTTGCCGTCCAAAATATACGACGCACAGAGACGGCTTGTAAGTAGGTAGGGTACAGTACAGCTTTTATACGTCTGCAACTCGTATCAAGCCATATTATTCGTTTTCATGAAGTGTATTTTTGTCGCATTCTTTTGTAATAACCCTGCGTAATGTTGGAAAAACTTTCTCGGTGGAGTAAATTACTTTAAAAGCCAAAAAAAAGCTTAAAGGAAATCCAATCATCAAGGAATACGCTTCGCATGTCACTGGAAATTGATCCATTTCATATGTATAGTGCAGTATCAACATTATTGAGCAGCTATTTAGGTAAAATTCGTTTGTTTTCTTGTTTTATAGAATGCATTGGATGCTAACGAGGATCTTACACCGCTTGGCTATCACCTCGCTACATTACCTGTAGATCCTCGCATTGGTAAAATGATCTTGTTTGGCGCCATCTTCTCGTGTCTTGATCCAGTTTTAACCATTGCTTCAACACTTGGCTTTAAGGATCCGTTTGTTTACCCTTTGGTAAGGCAATTTTGACCACCAAGACCAGGCAGGGCTGGCAATGTATTAGCTAATCAGGCCATTGGCTATCAGTCTAACATTATAACAAGCATTGAAACTAAGTCAATCTAGCGCCATGCACTCATTCGGACTCAAGGTCGTCCTTGGAATCACTTACATTTTAGAATCACTATAATTGTCATTGCGAGATAGAGCGCTTTTTCAGGGCTGTATGGTGGTCATTTTTACAAGTACTCCTAAGTTGGCCTTGCCAAACATTTCTCAATATTAAATCAGTGTATTTACTAAGCAGCAGGTATCCCTCTATGTCAGTTTAAACTGAATCTTCTCATGTGCGTTTACACGGAAAACAATCGTCGTTTTCGTTTTCGAAATATCAAGTTACAACACTATCCGCACATATGTACACACTCGTCGATTTTGGTGTTTTTTTTTATAACTGATAGGCCAGAACAACATGAATAAATTTACGCATAGGAAGCTACGATCCAGTATCCTTATGAGATCAAGCGTTTGTTAACAATTTTTAAGTTAAAGTTTTGTTCAATCATTAAAGGAAAAAAAGGATCAAGCTGACAAAGTTCGGATGAAGTTTGGCAAGAATACCAAAAGCGACCATTTGGCGATACTTTTTGCTTATAAGGTATGGTGGTCGAACCCCAGTTAAGCGGCCAATCATGAAAATTCCTTGAAAATATTGTTTAGTACCCGTAGCATACCTTACTTGGCGGAGTTTTTCTTTTCATTTTCCTCTCATCCCATTTCCATTAAACTGTTGCTCATTATTGCATTTGATTAATCATTTCTACTTCACTCCCGTATTCCTGGTATCTCTACTTATTTTACACCACAATTCAAAAACCACCCTTACCAAGCCTCACTTAACCTTAGATTACCTCTACATAAGTCATGATCTGTCTCTCTATCTCTCGTTGTATATTGACTGTTATATTTTGTTTGTAACTCTAATGTCTTCGATGGCAGGGATGGGAAGCAGCCAGGGAGCATGATAACGAATGCTCGTTTTGTTGGGATAATTTTCTCTCAAAACAAACGCTCAAGGTAACAGTTTGTGTTTGTTTGTTTTATTTTATCCCCCGTAGGCTGCAATACTCCAGTTTCGAATTCTCTTTTGTGCGAGCTTAGATCCAATCAAGGATAATTTTTTACTGTCGTCTTTGTACGCAGAGTTTTTGCATTACATAGAGGATATTACATGGGCGCGCGGAGATACGGATTTTATCTTCGAGCGTTGAAAAGTGATTTTTAACACTAGAAGACTGTAAAAGTCGTATCTGCAAGCGACCATGTAATATTCTATTTATCATATAGTTGTTTATGAAAGCAAATTATGTCGTAAAATACCTTTTTTCTTACTATTGCACAATATAGAGAAAGCGTGAATGTGCTATTTTCACTAGTGAAAAATATCAACGAAATGGAGAAATATAGGTATTCCATAAATAATCATATGATCAAATAGGATCTCTGCTGAGTAAAAGAATATATTACTTCCTTTCGAGGTTAAGGCTGCACAAATAAGATCTTGAAACTCTCCAGCTTTTCCCCTTTTTTATATCTTTGGGCTACCTGTTTTCTGATAAGCCTAGAGGGGATTAGGGATCCTAAAAACGGAAAAATAAAGGGTTGCCATCGGAGTTGGCAAACCTGGAAAAATTCCCGACGAAAAGTGCAATCATTGTATACATTTGTTGGGACAAACATTAGTCAGACAATGCCCGCAATTCTTTTGATTACAATATTATGACGTTATTACATTTACAATACGAAAATGTCCAACATATTTATTATGTTTATTTATATTTCAGATGTTGAGTGACATGAAGGAACAGTTTTCTCGTCTGTTGTGTGACATTGGTTTCCTTGACAACCCAGACCCCAAAGATCCAGCATCGAATCACAACGAAGGTTTGTTCTTTTTTTCATCTAGTCCGCTGATTTATGTTTGTAACTTTTTTATTAAAGCCTTGACCTTTATTCTCGTAGATAATCTAAAGCTCGTCAAAGCTGTACTTTGTGCTGGTTTGTATCCAAATGTTGTTAAAATTCTTCACCATGACAAGCTAAAACGGTAAGCCAGCCAGTTCACACTGAGCTTTAATCAATTAGAATGCAAATGTGCGAAGTATTACTCAATCGATCAATTAGGAGCACTCAGCAGCTGAAAATTTAATGATAACGCAGAAACCGCTAGGGTTACTCCTTGCCCTCAAGCGGAGGCTTCCGGACCCAAGCTCGTCTAAAAATCCAATTAGCCACACCCACCCACCCACCCACCCACCAACTGCATAGGCTCTAGTATTAATAACACATATTAGTAATTAGATTATGTATGGTTGTTTTGCATGTAGTCCACCTAGGCTGTACACTCAGGGAGATGGTAAAGTCGCCATGCACCCAAAGTCAGTCAACGTTGAAACTGTTGCCTACGAGAATAACTGGTTAATTTACCATCAAAAGGTCAAGTCAACAAAGGTAATAGGATTTCTGAACAGGACCGGGCTCAAGCTCCATGATCATTAATTTGGTGTAAATTTGGGAGTAGATTTGTATGTTAACAATGTATTTTGTGCGTTGGCAGATCTTCATCCATGACGCCACAATGATAGCTGCTTATCCACTGCTGTTCTTTGGTGGCGATGTTACAGTTCTTGTTGAAGAAGGACATGAAATTGTTGCAGTTGATGACTTTATTCGCTTTCGTTCTCCCAAAAAAATTGCTGTACTTGTCAAGGTTCGTTATGGGGTGGTTGGATTAGTGCTCCCATTAGTACCCATCTATGACACTGGTGAAAAACGCACTGCGCATGTCCACAGCTTTCCCGCTAAATCTGCCTAATTTCCTTTGTAAAGCGATTTTTGTGAAAGTTTTTTACAATTTATAAGCTCGTTCACCGATATATAAGATTCATATTTCCATCAATCATTGTTCATGATAGGTCCTTTTAGTATGTAGTTTCTATTTTTACCTTGTTATTTCTATTTTGAGAAAATGAGGTTTTTCGTAGTGTTTTCTGTGTTGTCGCTGTAAATCGCCAGGCGCTCTGTTTACAGATTTCAAGACGCGAGCGCCCACTGGCGGGAAAGCTGTGGGCATGCGCAGTGCGTTTTTCACCATTGTCCCCATCTACAAGTTTTTTGGATTCTTTGTTCAGTGTCTCACCTTTGGTGATCATCTTTGACAGGAATTGCGGGCTCAGTTGGACAAGCTTCTTGAAAGAAAAATCGCTCAACCAGGTCTGAGGCTTGTAGTTGACTCTTCGCAAGATCATCGAGCTACAGAATTACTTCACGCAATTATTGACCTTATAACCACTGAGGACTCCAAAAACTGGGTATGTTATCAATGTTATGGATCGGTAGTACGAAGTTTGAGAAGCGCTGTAACGAATAAATACTTATCTAGCGGATAAAATGCAAAATCTAAGCCTCCTTTGTTGGCGACGTCAACATTTTGTAGGGTTTTTTTGGAAATCTTCATTAATGATTTTAGAACCGATTCTTTTTCGTCTTGTATTAATGTTGCAACATTCAGTTATGTTGATTTTTGTTTTTCTTCTCTTTCAGAAGCGATTACGTGCTATTGAAGAGTATACAACAAAATCAAATAATAAACAAAAATATTTTCATTGAAATATCATGTTATATACACCCTTTTAATAAGTCCAGAGGTATTGTTTTCTCCGCACTTGACGTCAAATTTATTCTTTTGACATTTTTGCAATACAAAAGAATACATTTGACGTCAAGTGCGGAGAACGTAGTACCTCGGGACTTATTAAAAGGGTGTATACATTATTTAAATGTACAGATTATCAGATAGATTGTTTCTGTTTATGAAGTTGTTTGATGGAAAATCCGACTGCTTACATAAGTGAATGTGTCCATGTATTATGGAGATTTGACATGATTTGCCATTAAACTGCATAGATATGTTTGAATAACCACACTGTTAAAAAAGGTTGATTTATTTGCAATCTTACTTAGCACGAAAAGAGCGGAAATCACCAATAATCAACGTGATACTTAATAATGATATATGCTACCGTCCAGAACTGTTTGCAAATGACTGAAGCTGTTTAAAAACTGTTATTACAAAACTTGTTGAAATTAAAAAAAGAACATTTTGCATATTTAAAGTTGTTTTACTGAACACATCCAACGAACAAGGGGCCGTTTTGCATGAGCATGCGCGCAACCGCTGCGTTATAACGACCATGGGCTCTAGAATACGGGTAGAATAACATTGTAGTAGCTGCGGAAGCTTCGATTCTGAACATAATTGATGTTTTTACTTATCTTCCACATTTTTCCAAACAAAACCAAGTAGATATATTTACAATGCACACGAATATCTTTCAAACTTTATATAAATTACTGTGAGTCTCGGGCTAGATTTATAACACGAAGCCACTTTGTACCGTTAAAATGTAGTGAATTATTTGGGCACACCTTTAGCAATAATAAATTCCTAAGATGTGAATCGATTGCACTGCAATAGTTTATTTCATAACTTATAATGATACAGCTATAAAACTACACATAGATATTTATGATAACTTGATTCAAACAAGCTCAACTCTTCAGCCAAAAGAATGCTAAATTTGTCGTGAGTGCTCAACAGCACGTAAGAATTTGCAGAATTAACACCGTTCCACATTTTTCATAGACAAGAAAACATTATCAAACCATTTGCAAAGCATAAGTCTTGATATTGGAAGCCTTATTCTAATGAGTCCTGGTGGTATAAAAAAGGAAAGTAGTATTTCATGTAACAGTTAATAATATTTAAGCGTAAATATTGTACACTTCAAGAAACTGTCTTTCGAACATTTCGAGGTCGATGTTACTAAACAAAGGCGGTTTTTTCATTTTTTGTTTTTATTTTTTATGATGAATTCTAATTTAATAAGCATATCACAGTCTGGAAGTGAGAAGAAGTGAGGACGGATTTTTTTTACATGTAACAAAAAGCCGCTTTTACTTAGTTTATACATATGTGTCTGTGAATCTGGCGGTAAAGAATGTATGCAGTGAATGTACATGGTTGTCAATGTGCAAAGAAATGTGCATAGCGGCGCTGAACTGACGATCTCGGGTTCGGTTCTCAATTTAATTCTTTCTTTAACTTTAAAATATACTCGTTCTTTTTTTCTTTCTAAAATGCAAAGCGATCTTTCATCTAATAAATTCTCTGAGGATAACTCGAATGCAATCTGAATGGTAAATTTTCGCTGCAATGATAAAAATATTCAAAAAAAGCAAAATACGCAGAATATATCAAATCGATCGCGGCGCTGCTAAAAAATATATATATATATGTATTTCACGGCAAAACCGTGAAAAAACCCTGCGCACTCGTATTATTGTTTACATACGTTTAAATGCGTCAAACATACAATAAATTATAGATTGATAGTACCTGTGAGGTACTTAGTTAAGGTATTTCTGTCCAAACTGAAAGGAAGGAAAAGTTAGGAAATTTTTATTTTCCTGGCAAAAATTCTTAGAAAGTATTCCTTGTCTGGAGAGTCCTTTTCCTGAATTTCTCTCTGGCAACCAGTTGTGACTTACAGCTGGCTTGGATGGAAGAACAGATAATTCGCTTCAAAATACCGCGATTATTAAATTGACAAGGCCGCTTGAATCCAATGGAAGCGGGAATGGAAGTTCATGAAGTTCGAGTGAGCGGAGTGAGCGGCTCTCTCCATATTATTATACTGTCGGGTTTCCTGTGGAAAACTTGTACCAGGCCTGGTTGGTTTCTTAGCAACAGCGTATTCAAACTGCCAGAACAAAATGGCGGAATTTTTGTGTGAGTTAGCAACGAATGTTTTGTTCAAATATGCCAAGAAAATCTCTTAAAACAGACTTCGTTTTCTTCAAACTGTCGCATCAAACATGGAAGAGCGTGTAGGACCTCTTACTTTCTTTTCAAACTTTGATTCTGGGAACTTGTCGAAGGTAGAACGAGTTAAACAAGACCCAGATGAAGTTGATGAAGACTCGGACCTTCCTCCTTACTCAGCTCCAGATTATGAATACAATGTGTGGACTTGGCCAGACGCTGTAGGAACTGAGTATGAAAATCTAAATAGGACATGGTTTCATTTTGGCGTGAAAGGTGGCACTCCGGGAAAGCTACTAAAGATCAATATTATGAATTTGAACAGACAAGGGAAATTATACAATCAAGGCATGAGCCCATTTGTGAAGATTGTCCCTGGTCGAAATAAGTGGGAACGAATTCGCGATCGACCTACATGTGAGGTATATTTATAATACATTTTTTTATAATTTTGTTGATAATTATTCAAGTAAACAAAATATTTAACCTGGGACTTAAAATCATTCAGCCGAATAGATTATTGTTTTGTCTCAAAAGCTTAAGAGTAAGTTATTAGACTTTTGTATAAATTCTTGTATTGTACATATTTTGTATAAACAAAGTAATCAATTGGAATGATACTCTATAATTAATTCTTTGTGCAAACATATGAGATGGGTTAAAAAACCGTTTTAAGCCTGATTTTTTTCAAGTCAACTGTATTAAGTTTATTCACATCTTTATTACTAAAAAAGTGAATTCTTTCTTATATTTGTTCCCAGACTGTTGATGGACAATTTCACCTCTCCTTCACATATCGCTTCCCAGAGCAACGGAATTCCATACACTATTTTGCGTTTTGTTATCCCTACTCCTACGCTCAACTACAATCACATTTGGACTCATTAGATGTGATTTACATGTCGTGCAAGAAGATGACTCCTAGAAATTCAAGTGCAGACATTTACTACTACCGTGAATTGCTTTGTAAATCTCTGGATGATCTTAGACTTGACCTTTTAACTGTAACATCATGTAAAGGGATGGTGGAGGAAAGAGAAGATAGACTTGAGGGGTTGTTTCCTAATACTGATACACCAAGGGCTCATAGATTCAAAGGAAAGAAGGTAGAGTACAAGTGAGATTTTATAGAACTGCATTTAAGCTTTGTTCACAACAGTTAGTTACAGAATGGGATATAATTAATATCCATCATTGCAGATGTGGGGCTGGTATAATGGGTGAATATATTGTTATACTAGCAGACAAAATCCATAAAAAAAACAATGGAGTATATGTGTTGGTAATGCTTTATACAGTTGATATAAACTTAATTCACCCTTCCCACAGCCAGACTTTTTCTTTCTTATTTTGTTTTTGTTTTTTTTTCAAATCTCAGATTTAATATAAATTTGTTTGATTATTTTTCAGGTATATTTTTTAAGTGCTCGAGTTCATCCTGGAGAAACTCCAGCAAGTTTTGTCTTCAATGGATTCCTAGACTTTATTCTAAGACGTGATGATCCAAGGGCAATGATGTTACGTGAAAAGTATGTTTTCAAGTTGATACCTATGTTAAACCCTGATGGTGTCAAACGAGGCCATTATAGAACTGATTCTAGGGGAGTGAACCTTAATCGTGTGTACTTGGATCCTGATCCAGTGTTACACCCTTCAATTTATGCTGCCAAAGCTGTAATAATGTACCATCACTCAAAGGGAGAACAGGACATTATAAATAAAGTCTGCACATGTGAACCTAGGAATGACGCAGTGGAAAAAATGGACTCTGAGAAACAGGATGACATTGATAGCACTTTAGCTTCGTTGACTCAATCATGTGATTTAAATGACAATAATTTAGCAGAACTTGGTGAGAGATTGCCACCTGACGGCATGGAAAATCATGGTGATGATAGCCACAAAGTAGCATCTGATGATAGAATGACCATTGTTTCAGCTGAGTCTCCAGACCACGATAGCAATAAAAATGAAATCAGTGACCCAAGGAACCCATTCATTCAAAACAGCTCTGTTTATGAGGAAAATGTTGAAAATAATAAAACAACTGAACAGAAAAAATTATACTGCACACCTAAAGAGAATGTTGACAGAAGACTTAGTAGTGTTGCGTCTGACATGAACGGCAATATAGACCTTTGCAGGTGTTTTTCAGAGATCCATAACAATGCTAAGGAAAGCCCTCTTGAATACTATGTTGATCTTCATGGCCATGCTTCAAAAAGAGGTTGCTTTGTGTATGCTAACTATCTAGAAAATGAAGATGGTTATATCCAGTCTATACTTTACCCTAAATTAATGTCCATCAACTCTGCTAACTTTGACTTTACTGGGTGTAACTTTACTGAGAAGAACATGTACACCAAAGACAAGCGTGATGGTATGTCAAAAGAAGGCAGTGGTCGGGTGGCTATTTTTAAAGCAACCTCCATTGTTCATAGGTAAGGTTTTATTGTCAGTCGATTTTTAGTATGGCATGGACAGCAGTGCAATGGGCAATGAGAATCTCCCTTAATTTGGGTGAAAAAAGTATTTAAAATTTCAATTGTAGTCTGCTCTTGCAGCTGTTATTTGGCTCATTCCCTTATCTCTGAGAAAGGAGACTGCAAAATTTCACATTCACAAATTTTCTTTCACTTTTTTGCAAAAGCAAAAAAGGAAAGCCGATTTGGACATAATTATAAATAATATAAAGTACAAGGACTGCTTCTATTATGATTATGGCATTATAATATTGCTCAAGCGCCAGATGCACAAATTTTCCATTGTAATTAAAATAATGTCATCTAAATTGATAAATATATCATTTTACTAAAAAATATTCATTAATTTGATGTTTCCATTTGCTCACATAGCTACACACTAGAATGTAACTACAACAGTGGCCGTATGCTTAATCCAGTRCCTCCTGCAACATGCGACAGTGGTAGAGCAACTCCACCCCCACCACCTGGATTCCCACCCAAGTTTACCACAGAAATTTATGAAGAGGTAAGTTATCCCTTACATGCAAGTGTGTAAAAAGAAACAGGCAGCCCAACCAACCATTGCCTGTCAGGTTATATCCACTGCATGGATTTTGTTTCAATTTTGTCTGGATAAGAATTGATTTTGTTGATACTGCATCTAATAATTCACACTGCATACAGCTGACACCTGGGGCCATGCAGTTCTACAAAGGGGGGATAAAGTTATACCTGGTTAAAGTTAACCTTAGATTTTGTATAGATTTTATCTGCTGCCAGATAGGATTTATCCAGTGGATATTACTATACAACCTTCGTACAAGCAGTCCCTGATGTTCAATCTGTTCTGCTTTAATTTTTAGGTTGGTCGTTCCTTGGCAGTTTCAGTGTTAGACATGAACAACTGCAATCCATGGACACGTCTGCCGATGAGTGAGTTTGGCTCACTGGAAGGAGTAAGAAACTGGGTAAAAAGGTTCATCAGAAGTGCTAAGAATGCTCCTTCTATTCCTAAGAAACTATCAAGGGTTGCTGCAAAAACATCTAGGTACAACATCAATCTCCACAAATATTATTTAGCGGAATTCCTGCCAGACAGATCAATTTATTTTTTCTATTCATTAACTATCCCCTTCATGCATCTTCATGTATTTACAAAATGTGTAATTTTTTAGCTTAGTTGCTGGTGCAACAGCTGGCACTCGTCAGAAAATAACGTCATCATTCAAAAGTCCATCTTCCGGTGATCTGTCAAGTGAAGGTCTGTCAGCAGCTGCACAGAAGGTTACTGAAAGGATGACGCAAAATGTCAATGGTAAATATGAATGAGCTTGGTCAACAATAATGAACTGTATAATTATAACAAAGTCAAAGAATATGAAGTACAAAGAGGATATAGGCAAGGGCTCCTCGACGAATAACAACAGGGCTCTGTTAGCAATGATTCCTAAGGTCTAAATTATTGATTTTCTGTTAGCAATGAAGAAAGGGCTGGAAGAACCAAAGCCTCCTAAACGGATTCACAGTCTTGCTGCTCCAAGACGTTTGTCTCATCCAGCTTCAAATAGTGCATCCATCAAATCTGGTTCTAATGGTGTGAAGACTATTCCTGGAATTAATGGAGGGGTACAGGTATGAATATTTCCTTGAGAAAATATACACAAAAATAAAGTCATAGCCTCCTCATACAACTGATGATTCCTGGCTTCTGCTAGTAGAACAAATAGGTGGTTGGGTGTTAGCAATGGATACTTCTTTCCACAGGGTTATTCTCATGACAAACGATCCTTGTTTTATGAGATAAATAAAAATGTATTACAGCCTGCAGATTTCGCAGATACATTTTAGTATGGGGGTGCTTTGGGTAAAGATTTACTTGACTGTGCACTTTTGATATTTTGTGTTCCATACTCCTCTGAACATTGATGAGATTGCCTTGCCTTGATCCTTCACATTCTGGCTATGGCAATAAATTAAATGTGTATTAACTATAATTATATATAGTTATATTATTTGATACATGTATATTTTTTAATATGTTTATTATTTTTGTATCAGGTGCATAAGAGTAAAGAACAGTTAAGGGTGTCTTTGGATCTTCCTAAAAAAGTGAGTGTTACTGAGTGTACTTATTAATAACATATTGTCCATAGAAAATGTTATAATGATTACTTATAATATTAAACAGGACTTGCTAAATGAAAAATACCTTAAAAACAAAATTTTCAAATCTCATTAAACAGATTGAGGTTTATAACAAATGAATCAGCTATTTCTTCAGCCGTCTCCTGATCAGCTTTTACTGAGATGTATATTTTGTAAAATTGATAATTATATATAAATCAATGTTAACGTTGTTGTTAGTGATTTGTCATGAGTGACTCAATCAGTAGTGGGAGTTCTTAATTAAGTTTTATTGATTGTTTTGTTGTTGTTGTTTTAGGGTCCTTCGCTAAGAATACCCAAGCCCAACCATCTTCTTGCTTCTAATATCAAAGCCATATCTTGTCCTGCTGATCTAAGAATAGGGTGAGTTATATATCTGCAGTAAAATGGTGGGAACTAGTGGTAAACTAGTGTGAGCTGCATCGGTGTTTCTAAAGAAACAGTTGGACGTGTAAAAAGATTTAAATTTAACACCGTAAAAAAAGTACTATGTGAAATAACTTATACTGACGTTTCAGACGTTACAATGTAATCCTTCGTCAGAGTAATTAACGACGAAGGATTAACATCTGAAACGTCAGTAAGTTATTTCATTTTCACATACTTTTTTTTTTAAAGTGTTAAATTTATCTTTTTACTCAACTGAATTATATATCTGATGTTTAATTTTCCTTTTAATGAATTATAAAACTGTTTTCTGTCTTCAGGAGAACTAACCAGGTTGAGATTCATAATCAGTTTATTGGTTTTCAAACAAGAAGAGTAATACCAGAGCAAACAACAGCAAGTTGTGAAGCTGTTAGTGATGAAGAGAAGAAAAGAAAAGCAGTGATGTTGAAAAAGAAAACTCCTAAGAAAAAAGGCAATACACTCATGATAATTTAAAAAATAATAGCTCAGCTATGTAAATTATTGATAAGGACGATAAGTCTGATAAAGTTTGGACTTACATATTAAGTAGGACTCTTTGGACTTCAGTAAAACCTTTAGAACATCAAGTAAAATTCGATATGATTTAATTGGGATCTTTCCATAGTCTTAACTTATTATAAATGTTCTCACTGTTTTTTTATCATTAATGTCTTCTTTGCATACCAAATTTTTACAACACTATACATAACTTTTTAGACTCTGTGTAAATCAAATCTCTAATATTGGGCATATGTTTTTTGTCTCTTTTTTAGGTTTTAAACCTTCTGACAGCAAAGTAAATGAAGAACTTTGCAAGACTCTGGCTGAACCACCACCCCTGAGGTATTTCCATCATTGTTGAGCTTACTATGACTTGAAGCTAAATGATGTACAAGTCGATCTTTTACTTTTAACAGAAAGCAGGAAGAGCAAACAAGACCAAGAATGTCCAGTGATCAAGGTAGTTCATTTAGAAAAGGAAGTGCACTTTTACAAAGATCAAATTCTAAAAACAAGAAATTGGTAAGTTTAAATTCTCTTAGGTATTGCTTAATGATCTTAATTTAATTTTTTTTTTTTTTTAATAAGAAAAAGCCCAAAAGCTGAAGTTACATTTTTTTGGGGGGGCAATTTCAGCTTTATGGCTTTAATTTTAACTCATGTAACACTGAATTTTTTGGATCTTTATGATAGATTATGCTCTTTCATATAATAGCAAAATCATGATTTTAATAATATTAAAAATATTCAACAACTAATAATAACATGGGTGTTACCAAATGTATGCCTTTTTTACGAGATAGTTCATAGCTTGTCCTCCATATACTCCTGCTTCATACTCATGAAAATATTAAAGAATAAAATGAAAATATCTTTAGAACTGTATGATAATGGGATTGACTGTATATTGAAATAGAATATTCCTTAGATATATTAATTATATATCTTAACAATGTAATTTGCTGTTGAACAGATAAGTAATGGCATGACCTCGTGTGAAGCAGTAGACATAGCAAACCTTCAACAACAGTCAAGTAGTCAGTCTGTTGGCTACTGGGTGGAACTACATGACTTAAGCACAATGTCACACTGACATCAATAAATCATAGCAGAGCTGAGTAAAATGTTATCTAAGAAATTGTGTTCAAACTGTTAAAATAGTTAGAAAGGTTTTGAATTGTATAAATACTATAATATATGGAACTATAATTACTACGTCAGTGTTATAAAGAGAGGTATTGTAAAATAATTTGTGATACTATGATATGGGTTATGTTTTAAGAATATTATTTTTGAATGAATATAGTTTGGAATTGTTAAGAGATTGAAATAAATATTTATACAAAATATTGTGTTCCATCATATGTTGTTGCTCAAAAATGCTATCAGCTCATGCTAATGATTGGCTATTCAAATTGTACTAAGTTTAAAGTTTTTCTCCTTTCACACAAAAAAATATAATGAAATAAAAATATGAAGCACCAGAAACAGATGTCTACAAATAATTACAGGTAGCCATCTAGCTCCCTCTATGGATACAACAGCAAATTCCTCAACAGTACACAATAGAAACAGCCCAAAAAAGAGACAAGGTGCACAAGAATATGCTACAAAATACAAGGAAGTTTTAAAGACATCTGAACAAGAGATAGTGTGTGGTACACACTTAAGACAAAACAGAATGAGTAACCTTTGGAGCTCAATCTTTGCTTTCTAGTAATATCAGGGAGTTAGAGTTATTGATGGAAAGATTGTGGTATGGAATACATTCTCTTGTTTCAAACTCAAATTCTTTGGTACCAGTGTAACTACAACAAGATTTACCCTATTTGAGAGATCGTTTTTCCATCCTCAAAGAGGGCTGAGGTTTTGGGAGTAATCAAAGTTATTAATTCCAATCAAAGAAGTCATCAAGACACATTGTRGAGTTTAAACCCTGTACACTTTATTTAATGTCAACCAGTAAACTTATCAAGAGGAAACATTCACTGATTGGTTATTTAAGATGCCCTTACATTTTTGTTTTTAATTTGGTGATTACTATATAACAATTTTGACTGGATTGATCAAAATAATATTCTTGTGTTAATATTTTACAGCCAGGTCATTCACAGCTCAATAAACACTAATTCTTGGTCGGAAGCCATTGTATTCAACCTTTGTACTGTAATGCTAATCGAGCTTTGAGAAACCCAGTCTGGTGAACCTTTAAACATCTATGCATTGATTATTATTTAATATAAACAAATTATAATTATTCTTGGTGAAATTCAATGTATTAAAAATACGTTCGTTTGTCAGTGCACCTACACTCTCATATTATCCTTTGTTAACTATAACATTATTTCATTAATATTATTTAAACGTGATGAAAAATATATTGAATGGTTTTCATTTGGGAAGCTATGAGGAGGCACAACTATTTTGTACCAGATATTTTATTGCCTATTTTCAGGACCTATTATTCCTCTCTCCCAGTTTGCTATCAAGTGGGACATGATAGCACAGTCAAATTTCATTCTTGGTAGAAGAACAAGCTTCATTTTTTTTTTGCAAGCAAGCAAATAATGCTTTAGAGCAATTGCCAATGGCGATTTCTGCTGAAAACAGCCGGGAAATTGTCTTCACTTAAGTAAAGTACAGAACTGAATACAGAACAGGTACATTATATAGCCTGTAAGGCTTGTAAATTGGGTAAAATTTGATTAGGGAAAAAACAATTTCATACTGTCAAATGGCTAGCTTAACCTATGAAATACACTTTTCCCATCGATAATAATTTAGACGGCCATTAAAGAGGGGAAAAGGTCAGTGAATGATTCCTCCCATACATTGATGCCACTATCCCCAAGTGTACCAGGTTCAACATCTAGTTCGTTAAGTTCCATTGACAAGTTTTTGTATCCTATGATATCATCAATGGATTCCATGTGGTCTGTTGGCGACCCCACCATACCATCAATTCCTTGTGGTATGGCCTGGACATCTTGGTCTCTAACTGACTTGATTTTAAACGATCTGTCATCAGTGCTGGATCCACCACAGCAAGAGGAAATAATCTTGTGTTCTTGCTTTGGCTCGAGAAATTCTGAATCATCTTCACTACTGGAGTCAACATCTTCAAACAGACCAACAAACAGCTGAGACTGAAAGGAAAGAAAAACAGTTAGAATGTTAAGTAAGTACAAACTGGGAATATAGAACATAGAAATATATCCTCAATTCAAAAACAAAAATCCTAAAAATAGAGAAAAAAACTCGACACAATGTTCTTTAATTTTTTGGACTTTTTGATATATGATATATTTTTTTCATGTGAAATAATGAATTATTGTGAGAGTTGCCAAGTAAACCGCCATGTCATTAATAAAGGTTTCCATGGCAAAACACATGGTCAAAGCCAAGTGGTTTCCTACACCTTCTATGGTAATTTGTTTATAATTAGCAAACACTTGTCTTTTGTAATTCTTACCTCGAATTGATCCTTAGCCAGGTCGTGATCACCAAAAGAAACAGAATCAGATTCTTCTGCTGCTGAGAAGCTGTGAGCGCTGCAAACTCTTTAGATTCTGCTTCCTTCTTGATCACAACAAGACTGCTGTCTGTCTCGTCTTTGAGGGAGGGTTCTGGGCTTGGGGGAAGAGACAAAGGACTTGGAGAAGCCTCTGGAGAAACTGGAGGAGTAAGTCCCAATCGAATTCTGAGTTCAGAGTTTTCTGATGAAAGGGAATCTGTTTGTTTTAGTAATCTTTTGTTGGAGTCTCTGAGGTTCTTGTTCTGGGGAACAAAAAGGAAAACGCATTTAAAATGAGCATTTGAATAGCAGGTTCATTTGCTTGCTGAGTGGTTATTTCAACAGTTGTGAAAAGACAATTAAATGCCACATTAAGGAAGATTATCTATATATTATAAGGGAAGTTAGTTAAGCACACACACAAAAAATATCAAAAGTTTAGTTAAATGAGGGATAAAGTTTTAAGATTTAAAACTGCTTTAAGAGATTAAATATTGAACGATCTACATGTCTTTTTTGACAAAAGTTACCCTCAAACGGGTATTCTTTTACGGTCAAATAACAACTGCTAGTCTTTTGTCCTTGATATCAATAGCGATATAAAAACTTAGCATATGAAAGGCCTTTTACTATTCACTTGATATCAAATTTCACATGGCGAGAAGAGACAGGACAAAAATTCTTGTCTGTCGTGACGACAAAAAAGTCTTTCAAACCGGAAAAATACGAAAACGGAACTTGATGGTCCTTGAAAAGAATAAAGACCAAAACATAGCAACATGTGATAAATACTTTCCTTTTTCTGAAAGGGTGACAAAATGTCAAAGTTGTAAAAATTAAAGGATAATTTTCGTGGGCGCAAAATTAATGCAAAAGAACGCTGCCGTATAATTTCTTCAAGCCAATTTCCAACGACGCATATCGAATTTCAGCGTTCTGCCTACAGGAAAGTCTAAATATTAAAAAAAATACTAAAACTCATTAAAAACAATTGATCATTTCAAGTTATTCAAAAAGTAACTTTTGTCATCGAAAGTATAAATTGTATTTCGAATTTTCTTTCGGTTTACCTCTCTTTCTAGCCTTTTGACCGCGTCTTCCAAGTCTTGCATTCGAGCCTTCTTTCTATCGCGAGCTGTCTGTGCCGCTACACGATTTTTTAGCTTCCTAAAACCAAATAAAAAGCACTGATGTTTTCAACTAATACCCTGATTCTTCTTTAGAATTTTTCATTAATTTAATGGAAATCCTTTTGAAGTCATTTCAAAAGACCGGTGTTACAAGTCGCGTAGTAAAGTTCTCAGCTGAGAGTATATTTACCTTCGAAGCGCTCTTTCTTCGGCTGTTAAATTATCTAATCTCCGTCTTTTTCGCGGTTGGCCTTCAGAATTTGTCTCATTGAGTGCTAAAGATTTTAAAACTGCCTCTCTGTTGATATTTGGTGATTCCATTGTGTAATATTTCTTCAGAAGCCAAAACACTGCCTTCTTTCGTTCAATGTTCTAAATTTACTAAAGCCCGAGAGGATTCAATGAAACATATCGACGAGTTGCGTCACACTACCTCCAAATATGGTTATGACAGACAGCGTCAATCATTAGCCCAATCCTTTTAGCCAATCATAAAAGGCCACGACGGAAAGATGTTTCAGACTTTCGGGAAGAGCGATACTTACATTCGACTTCCCTTTCGATGCTGAAGGTATATTTCTAAGGTTTAGAGCAAAAAAAGTTATACAAAACGAAAACAAGTTGCTTGGAGATATTGAAAACATTTTAAGTCGTATTTGATGTTATTATTTTTAAAATTTCAAACATTTTTGGAGCTGCTTCCATGGTTTCATTGAAGCAACGCAAATATTTCAGACAAACAATTATGCTCTTTTGACGCCTACTCGTAGAAAGTCTTAGAAACAGCTGATTGACCTGACTCGCTGCAATTGATTTCGTCAAAGAACACCCCCGTAACAAACGCCTACGTACGTAAAATAACAAAAAATCAATTTTGACGGAAAAAAATCAAAACGGGAGAAGCGGTCATTTGACATTCATTTCCACCTAAGAAAAATAAGTAGTACTCGTGACACTCTAAACTTATTTTGGCGGTTAATATTATGCTAATTCCAGTCCAGTTTTAGGTGGCTTTCACAATATATGAATGTTCCTTTATCATTTGGCAATATAATCAGTGTGGTAATTTCATAAGGACAAGAGCTTTTCCCTATATAACATTACATTAAGAAACTGGCGCAATTAGCTCCAATTATCAGGTGAACGGCCCCTTACGTGCCAACATCACTTGCGTATATTTTTAAGCAATAGCTTAAAATACATCAATATGATTACATACGATAAATAGACGCTGACATGCGCCGTTGACCATGACTAAAGCTTATATATTATATTATATTATATATATTCCCGCGAAAGTTAATTTTACTAATTTCGTTGGCCCTAATGACAGTACTCAGTTCAATTTATTTTAAAATAAACAGTTTACAAAATTACTTTAAAATAAACCGTTTACAAAGGTAAACGGTTCATGGTGAGCACTTGCCGTTCATGGATCGGAGCCTGTCTTTTTTGTTTTCTTTGGGGTAAACATCTAAAATTTGAGTAAAATTATGACAGAGAAAAGGTTCACTGGAAGGTCGAGGTCGGAAATTAAGTTTCCCGAATTTATTCCTAAATGGTCTTTCTCCCGGAATAGCCTCCTTCTAAGCACTATAACTTGCTTTCATTTCTTCTCCATGAGGCATGCGGCACGGTCTAAAGGTTACTGTAAACCTTCGCGACTTACCTTATTTAAAGTGCTACTTGCATCAAAATGGCCTTATTTCAAAAGCAATACAAATATATGAATCACATATATCTATTAAAAGCAATTGCGGAAAAATCTCTGTTTTGGAATTGTCCCACGTCAGAGAAATTTTGATTAAAAAGATGGAAGAACAAAAGGATGGAGTAAAGGACTGTCATCTACTCCAACATTTTTTGCCCAAATTCTAGCTTAAGGATTTGTATCAATATCTTCTTAAAATCTGTTGCTTCATGGTTATTATACCCATATGGATAGTTCTATTTGACTTCCAAGTCTTTTCTAATGTTTCGCAATTTTCGCATTAAAACACAGAAAGTCCACTCGTGGACATGGCGCCCTACGTCACTACTTGGTCTATACATTTTGACTACCTTACACAATAGGGAGCCCAAGCAATGGCTTTGAATCTATAATATAAAAGTAAACTTCAACTTCAAAAAATGGTCTACTTTTATTGTATTCATTATCACAATGCATTATAAGTGGGTTTAAAATACTTTTATTTTTTTTTATTTTAGCTTTATAGTATTAGAGTCGTTAATCAATTTAGAAAATATTGAGCGAGATCTTCTTAGTAGAGAAGCGTATTGGTGCCATCAGCTTTTTACATTTCATCCTCATGGCTTAAACAAACGCTTAGAATCGAACTCAAAAAATAGGATTAATTATTCTGCTTAGGCGTTTGTCCATTTTTTCAATAGGAATTTTTAGTCTTAATTTATTTGTTTAGTTTAACTTTTACCTAGTATTGTTTTATGTCAGTTGAAAGTTTTTTTAGGGTTATATATCAGTTCTGTGGTACTAGTTTATTTTTCCTCTCTTCACCCTCCTTCCCCCCCTCCCTCCCCCCCCCTTCCATACCCGGTTAGTTTGTGTTAT